GGGTCCTTGTATCGCTCATTGAAAGGAGACACGGTAAAAGCAGCTGGTAAGACTTGGAAGATTCTCCCGTTAGTGACTGTTTTTGTTCATGAATTTACGCTGAACGAATTTGGTTAACTGCATCAGATGAGCAGTTTGATTACTTGGAAAATGCTCTTAAGAAATTTGACGATGGGCCATATCTTCTGGGTCAGTTCAGTTTGGTAAGTTGAATGTACAATGTATCTACATGCCAATTAATGTTTTTGTATTTCTAATAAAATGAGCTAGTAGTAACACATAAGTGCTTAAGTAATGGATACAAATTTGTGATATGCAGGTGGACATAGCCTATATCCCATTCGTTGAGAAGTTCCAAGTCTTCTTATCAGACGTGTTCAAGTATGACATCACAGCTGGGAGGCCTAAACTAGCAGCATTCTTGGAGGTACATTAACAAGTCATAGAATTGTATAATGAATGTCATGGATTCCATTGTCTGAGCTTTATCCCATGTACGGATGACTGTCTCTCATCTGTTTAAAAACAAACTTAAACGTTTCATGAGGCTAAGCTAGCTGTTCAAGTGGTTTCCGAGCAAGAATTCTAAGCAAAAGCACTCCGTTAACCACTATCTTAAAATCGGATTCGATAGAGGACGTGCTCCTCTGTAATATCTCATAAAGATGGTGATTATTATGGTTGTTATATATATCCTTGTGCAGGAAATCAACAAGATTGAGGCATACAAGGTAACCAAAGCTGATCCAAAGGAGATTGTTGCAGCGTACAAGAAGAAATTCCTGGTACATTCTCTTTTGCTGACCTACAATTCGAAATTTGTGCTCAGTCGTTCTTTCTATATTCATTATGCTGGTTTGATAACCTCTGCGTAATACTTTTCGTTACAGGAGCAACAGTAAACCTGCGAAATATTCTGCTGCGGACGCCGTATAAATAAGTGGCTGAGCACATCAACAGATTGTTCGTCAGCCTAATTACGTATGCAGATTATGTAGTCTTGTTATAGATACGGACTTGTGTGTATTTGGATATTTGTCTTTGTTACATGAATAAAATTCGGGTCCTCGGATTCTGTTCGGTGTTCGGGTCCAGCCTCTCGTAATCTATCAACAATTTCTTCAGAAGAGGGAAGTTTCTTTGCAAAGCAAAGTACGATAATTACCAAACAATATAGTCCAAACCACATTGGCCAAATGTTTTTCTATATATATTTTATAAGTCGAAGTTCTCTATCTTTTCTTACACTACTCTTCAAATAAAACAAGGCAAAATGCTTCTAATATCATATCACGTCGTAATGAAAAATACATATACTAATCTGAGATAGAAGAGATCAACAAATTCCATGTTTCAACAAAAAAATGGGGGAAAACTAACCAAAAGCCCCAAAAAAAGTTTCCTTTTAATCATCAGGACAAAAGTTTTCAAAAATACCAATGCTACCCTTCAAATATCTATACAAAATTGGCCAAGTATTCAGTAAAGTTCACGTGGTATTCACCAAAGAATACATCCAAAGAAGAAAAAGGAGGATTGACACTTTCAGAAAACATTTGAATGCAAAAGTTAAGGTGGCCATTGCAGCAGCCAAGACAACATGAATTCACATGACCTTCATTAAAGCAAAGACAAGTCAGCCAGCTTTCAGAAATAATGCTGACAACTTTCGTGCTGTCACTATTCAAAAAGTTGTAAATAGATGAAAATTTATTTTGTTGTTTAGGAATTAGGTTTTGTATATAAGGGAGCTTTTCCTCTCATGCAGAATACACGAAATAACACACAACACGCCTCAACATCTCAACACCTCAACACCATACTCACATCATACTTCAACCTACAAACACTCAAGCATCCGAAACCTTCCTAGCATCCTTTGTAAACATTCTATACATCAATAAAAGTTCAAGTGTACAAATTCAAGCAATCTTCAATTCTTAAGTAAGCTTTCTTTTCTGTCTTTAGTGTGTTTGTTCAATTAGACTTCTAGTCCAAAATAGGGAAACACTATTTTCATTATATTATTAACCTGTTAACCCGACGATCATACTTTGTTCGAGCACTCTGTTATAGTTGAATGCTTGCCATACAAATAACTGGACATTAATCAGGGTACTTCTGAGTGAGTATTTATAGTATAGAGAGTATTAATATGATAGATTTTGATTCTGAAGATTCAAGTAGTTCAAATGGTGATTTAGAAGAGTATATATGTTCATTCATAGAAGAACAACATGAAGAAGAATATAAATACATTAATTTAGGTTGGCCAGAAAATGTCATAAGTGTAGCAAGTTAGTTGCAAATAAATACTATAATACATATTCAATATTATGTGAAAAGTGTTATAGTAATAGGTTATTAGAAGTTAATTCAGCAGAATCACAAGAAAGTACTGAAATATTAGGAAATACTGTTCATAGTATAGAAAGGCCAAAAAAATAGTTATTTAATTACCATAAATTGTGAAATAGAATTAGCAAAATAACATAAGATACAAACAACAGCTATGATAGATACAGAGAATACAAAGAGTGTCATAAGAGAAGAATTAGCACCAGAAAAATATGGACAAAAATTAGCAAAACCAGTAAGAATAACATAGTTTGATGAGAGACCGGTTTACTTAACAGATTGCATTAATAATGAATCTATTAAAGTAGAAAAACAACAATTTAATTTACCATTAACATTTGTTTCATCAGTAGGATCATACGCATTCATTTTAGGTTTAAATTGCTTGAAAAGCTTGCAAGGTTTTTTTTATTTATGAACCTTAACATAACATTTTTCAAAAGAGGTATTACAATAGCTGATCAAAGTAATACTGTAGAAGCATACAAAAGCATAAGTGTAGAAGAATTTAGTAGTCAAGATAGTTATTATTTGGAAAACTCAAAAGAAAATGATGAGCATAATAACATAGAAGAGTTTGAGGAAGAATTATTTGAACATGAATATCCGATTTTAGAAGAAAGAACCCATATAAAAATATTACAATTAGATAAATTAAAGAGTTTAGAAGAATTATTACAATTACCAGAACAAACTAGGATCATAGGAGAAGACCCACATTTACATTGGAGTAAAAATAAAATAATAGCAAAATTAGATAAAAGAGCTTATTGACCTCATAGATAGTAAGCCTAAGCAAGTAGAACTCAGATCATTAGAAATAGTTGAGCAATTAAGATTAGAAGTTCAAAAAAATTCAATTATTGCAAAATGAGTTGAGTGAACAAGTAGATAAGTTGCATAATAAAATAGATAAATTATTAGTTTAATGACCGATTCTAGAACTAGCAGAAAATATATCCAAGCTTTGAAAGAAATTAGTAAGCTAGATAAAGAACCAGTAGGTTTAACAGATTTTTCAACACAAGTAGCTAGTAGTAATATTCCCATTAGGCAAACTAATTTAATTATTCAATTACTTTTAAGTTTGGCTAAAAAATTAGATCAAGTTGAAGAACAAATACCATAAATAAATCAAGTTTTACATAACACATCTCCATCACTTCCACCATTTTTGTTAGAAAAATTAGAAAATTTAACTTTAAGTACAAATAATCATATTAGAAGACCTAAGATAAATCATTTTGATAACAGAAAATGGAACTCTTTAAGAGAGAAAAGAAGTAGTTAGAGTTGAAGATATTTATCCAAATGAAGAAGAAGCACAAGAATTTATTAGAAGATGATTTGAGAAAACACAGAAAAATAAATATAATTTGTACCAATTAGGTTTATTTGAAAATAGAAGTAGGATTGTAAGTAGCATCAGTCAAGATGAAGTTAGATGTATTGATAAAGAAGTTATACTTAATTTACTTAGTAAGGAAGCAATTATGCATTTGAGAAAATCAATCAGGTACAATACAATTACAAGATTATATAGCTAAAAATGTCTTAGAATTTCCAGGTAAGTTAGAAGACAAAAAACAGTTACAAGCATTTTTAGGATTGTTGAATTATGCAAGAAATTTTATCCCTGATTTAGAAAGAAAAATAGCAGTATTACATAATAAAACTAGCAAAATAGGACAAAAATATTTTAATAGTGAAGATATTAAATTAGTTCAAATATAAAAGAAGAAATTACTAAACTTAAGCCATTAACATTACCATTAGATGATAGTTCTAAAGTAGTCGAAACAGATGCTTCATCATTAGGATGAGCATGTATACTATACCAGAAAAAGAATAAGGAGTCACCAAAGTCTAACGAACAAGTTTGTAGATATTCATCAGGAAAATTTAGTGATGTACAACCAAGATTACCATTAATAGATTTAGAAATTTTAGAAATAATTAACTCACTTGAAGCATTCTCTTTATTTTTACATAATGAAGTATTTACGATTAGAACAGATTGTCAAAATATAGTTTCTCATTATAACATACCAGATTCGCATGACAAGCTCGATTAAATAGTCGGATGACCATTATAACAACTAGACATAAAACCTTGCACATGGAACTCGACATGTTTTAGCATGACGGCCACTCACAGTACAAGTATAAACTCTTAACGGCTGAACTCAGAGGTACCTTAGTTAATATCCATTTATTTGTATGGCAAGCATTCAACTATAACAGAATGCTCGAACAAAGTATGATTGTCACACCCGATCCCGACATACATCCATGATCGACACGTGACAGAAGATTGTAGGGGGATGCCAGGAAATACAAACTGGAATACTGAACTGAATATATATTTAAGAAAAGGTATATGGATTAGTAACCAAATGTAGTGATAGGATGATCACATTTAAGTGTTCTCTTCACTTTGTTCTAAATTTAAATTCTAAAGGAGCTACCTAACTTAGGTAGTTTTACCGGACATCCTTCACAAAAACACAAGATTTTATTATATTTTAATTGTATACAAATCGACTCCATGCCATTTTATTTAATGTGAGAGGTGTTGTAATTAGATAGTCCTATGCTCCACCCTAGTTTTTAGACTCTTCCAAACTTGTTGGTGGCCATACATTACCGACTCACTAGTGACCAGCAGAATGATTAGTTCACACTATTAAAATTCGGATAAATTCGTCATCCTTAATTCTCCTCTCTAATCATCCGACCAACACCAAAACCCAGATCAGGCGAGATACTCAAAATCCAACTGAGAAATCAAGTCCACGACACTTATCATGCACAACCATAAGTCGCGCATGATCAGCATATATCGTATCCTTTATATGTAGATATTATTTCGTCACTGCTGCCGACTCCACCGCCACCTCACAGTCCTCTATAAAACGGCCACCCACTTTGTACGGACACATTCTGCGCCAAATTCTGATTGCCAAAAAAAACACAAAAAATCTCTGCAGAGAACCAAAAAATGGCGTACAAGTACGATTTCTCATTTTCGTGGTCTTTCTTTTTTCTGGGTCCATCTGAATTTCTGATTTTTTTTCTTGTTGTAAAATTAATCCAAGATTGTTTTGTTTCTTGGTGTTGCAGGCATGAGGAACTTCCTCCACCGTTGGATTCCACTTCCTCCCCCCCCCCTCTCTTTGACGGCACTACAAGGTTTACCTCTTTCCTCCACTTTTTTGGTCTGAAATGGTTGGTTACAAATCCCATTGCTCAACTGATACGTTCAAATACTCACGATATATACTGAAAAATGATTATTTCAGCGTTTGAAATTTGTAATGTGATCATTTCAGCCAATTTTCCCAAGATAAAACACATTTTTGAGGCTGTTTTCGCCTTCTGTCTCGTCCGAATTTCAGTTTTGGCCACCTTGTTTTTTATTTATCTCATTTTGCTCACTATTTTTGTTCACTGAGTTTCGTTTTGTTCAGTGATTACCATGTTTTGATGTGTATTGGTTGCTTTGTGTTTTGAAGGCTGTACGTAAATTACACAAGTCCATTTGCACAGCGGGTTTGGATCACTAGGAACTACAAGGTTTGTTCTCTTTTTTCACCATATTTTTCGTTTTTGGAGCTTCTGGCAAAGGCCCTGAGATCATTCAATTTGTTGTTTGAGGAATTGGCTAATATGATGAAATACAAATCCCTATAGCGGAAATGATTATTTTTCATTATATTTGATGGATATGTCGTGGTTATTTGATTTAAATCATTTCATGAATTGGTAAATTGAGAATTAATCAGAACCCATGTCTTAGTGTTTGTTTTTGTCGAAATTTTTTGAGTTGCAGGGTTTGCAAGGCAAGATTAAGTTAGTGGGTATAGATCTTGAAAACAGGCCTGCTTGGTACAAGGAAAAAGTCTACCCCGGAAACAAGGTAAAATATTGAGCAAAAATTAGTGTTCTCTTCTTCTTTGCTGCCATTGATTATCTGTGGAAAATTTGGTGAAACTGGATAAATCTCTTGATTGATTATTTTTATAGGTGCCATCTCTGGAGCACAATGGAAAAGTCATTGGAGAAAGTCTTGATCTGATCAAATACCTCGAAAGCAACTTCGAAGGGCCTTCACTTGTCCCCAATGTAAGATATCCAGAATTTGATTGTGCCTCAAGTAACATGACTTTGTCTTCTCAGAAATTTGACCAGAGTGATGCTGCGAAATTGTTTTTAGGACGACCCTGGGAGAAAAAAGTTTGGCGAAGAATTATTAACTTATGTTGTTACCTTCGTGGGGTCCTTGTATCGCTCATTGAAAGGAGACACGGTAAAAGCAGCTGGTAAGACTTGGAAGATTCTCCCGTTAGTGACTTTTTGTTGATGAATATACGCTGAAGAAATTTGGTTAACTGCATCAGATGAGCAGTTTGATTACTTGGAAAATGCTCTTAAGAAATTTGACGATGGACCATATCTTCTGGGTCAGTTCAGTTTGGTAAGTTGAATGTACAATGTATCTACATGCCAATTAATGTTTTCGCATTTCTAATAAAATGAGCTAGTAGTAACACATAAGTGCTTAAGTAATGGATACAAATTTGTGATATCCAGGTGGACATAGCCTATATCCCGTTCGTTGAGCAGTTCCAAGTCTTCTTATCAGACGTGTTCAAGTATGACATCACAGCTGGGAGGCCTAAACTAGCAGCATTCTTGGAGGTACATTAACAAGTCATAGAATTGTATAATGAATGTCATGGATTCCATTGTCTGAGCTTTATCCCATGTACGTGTTGGATAATGGCCAAATTAGTGGCCAAGTGGCCAAAAACATATAATAAAAAATGAGGGAACATCATTTTGAGAAGACCAATGATGATGTTTGTTGAAAAGAAAAAGAAATGTCATGATGATGTTTGTAAAGGAATGATTATTCCTTTACTTTGGATTTTTTTATTGGATGCTTTTGTATGGATAAATGTTGCATCCGAATGTGGGAGATGAGGGGGGAGCGGCAGATGAGAGAAACCAGGGAGAGCATTCGGCTCTCCCATTTGAATATGAGCTGCTCCTTCCCACCATTTGTAATAATCCCATTTTGTTAGTAATCACTCAATCAAAGATATTTGTGCTACATGTTGTGGCTTTTGGGAGAGAAGGAATTTGGTATATGTTTCCATTTTCTCCATTTGTTCTTTGTTTTAGTGAGAGCTATTGGGTGTATGTGGGATTTGGGTTTGAGAGTTAAACTCTATTTGTAATCTCCTTGTGATATTAGTGGAATTTCCTTGCCGTCTCGGAACTGGATGTAGGCTTACGCCGAACCAGTATAAATCCTTGTGTCTTTTGGATTATTTGTTTTGTCATATTTTGCCGTTGTAGTTTATTAGTTTCATATTTGATGCTTCCGCACAACAAGTGGTATCAGAGCCCCGGGTTTCGACTTAGAGGCTTTGTACTAATATGTCTATGAAACCTTCGAATATGACAGTGAAATATGTTTTTTTGAAAAAATATGACAGGAGGAATGACTTTGGCATTTGGTCAATTGGAGATGCAGAGTTTGGCTGCAAAATGCGTGGCGTTGAAGAAGGATAGTAAGGGACTATGCTGCAGTCACTGAGCTCGCAGATTGGAGAATGGTTTCTGAAACAGCGTGTCTGCTGCAATGTTGTTGTCGATGTTGTTGAAGTGTTGGTGTTCGACGGCTGCAGTTGTAGTGTACTGCTTTTGGTGGATTTTCCGTTGGTCATCGTTGCACCGGAGGTGTTTGTGGGCTGTTGTCGACGAGTTGAGTGGAAAGGAGAAAAAGTAGAAGCAGTTGAAAATTGAAAAGAAAATGTTGGTTCTTTTTCTTTCGGCATTTGTTTTGGCAGAAGGACATCAAGATGACAAATGATGTTGTTGGCTGAAAGAAAAGGGAAAAAGGCTAAGGCTAAGTTTTCTTCTCTTTGGCATTTTTTCAACGGTAGAGAAGTTTTTCTTCACTCCCACTAGTTGCCTTTGGAGCAAGTTGATGGAAACTTTGGAGGAGTTTGTGAGGGCCAATTTGTTGAGTTCTGCAAAGGTTTGGATAGTGAGACATCACACTATTTTGGATACACCACATGCACTGCAGAACATTTGTGTGGAACCCTCTTGTAGAAGGCAAGTTATATGCTTTCTAACTTTGTTTGGTTTATGGACATTTGGTTGGATTTGTTTGCCACTGCTATTTGGTTTGTTGGTCTCCATCATCTGCAATTAGTTTTCTTGAAGACTCCAGTTGAGGTATGGTTTTGGATCTCCTACTGATTATTTGAATTTGAAATTTTTGGTTGTCATGTTGGTGCTCATGTGATGATGGTAAACTTGAGTGAAGGGCATAATATTGATATTCATAGGATCTGAATTTGGGTGAAAGGTTTTGTATGTGGTATGTTAGACCTTGTTGCCAAATTTGTAATCAGTTTTGACTTGGAGAATATGCCATGCTATGTGAATGAGTCTATTGGTGCAGTTTTAGACCATGGTGTTTGTGAGCAGGTGGAGTTCGTTGTATGTCCAACTTTGGTATGGTGTGCTTGATCTTTTGTCGGTGATATTGAAGAATTTCAGTTCTTCGTTTGAATCACTTTTGTTTTGATCAAGGCACTTATGGTTTGCAAATTTGGAGAAGACGGTAAAGAAATGATCTACTTTTGTTGGCGTTGGTACAATTTGAGTCGAGGTGGAGATCATTAGAGTACCGAAAGTTTGGGGAATTTGATTTAGTTCCTGTTGTCTTTAGTTTGTACTTTGGGTGCTTATAGTGATTGTTGATTCGATTCTCTGTGATGTTTTCGGAATTTGGCCAAGGTGGAGATTGTTGGATAATGGCCAAATTAGTGGCCAAGTGGCCAAAAACATATAATAAAAAATGAGGGAACATCATTTTGAGAAGACCAATGATGATGTTTGTTGAAAAGAAAAAGAAATGTCATGATGATGTTTGTAAAGGAATGATTATTCCTTTACTTTGGATTTTTTTATTGGATGCTTTTGTATGGATAAATGTTGCATCCGAATGTGGGAGATGAGGGGGGAGCGGCAGATGAGAGAAACCAGGGAGAGCATTCGGCTCTCCCATTTGAATATGAGCTGCTCCTTCCCACCATTTGTAATAATCCCATTTTGTTAGTAATCACTCAATCAAAGATATTTGTGCTACATGTTGTGGCTTTTGGGAGAGAAGGAATTTGGTATATGTTTCCATTTTCTCCATTTGTTCTTTGTTTTAGTGAGAGCTATTGGGTGTATGTGGGATTTGGGTTTGAGAGTTAAAACTCTATTGTAATCTCCTTGTGATATTAGTGGAATTTCCTTGCCGTCTCGGAACTGGATGTAGGCTTACGCCGAACCAGTATAAATCCTTGTGTCTTTTGGATTATTTGTTTTGTCATATTTTGCCGTTGTAGTTTATTAGTTTCATATTTGACGCTTCCGCACAACAGTACGGATGACTGTCTCTCATCTGTTTAAAAACAAACTTAAACGTTTCATGAGACTAAGCTAGCTGTTCAAGTGGTTTCCGAGCAAGAACTCTAAGCAAAAGCACTCCGTTAACCACTATCTTAAAATCGGATTCGATAGAGGACGTGCTGCTCTGTAATATATCTCATAAAGATGGTGATTATTATGGTTGTTATATGTCCTTGTGCAGGAAATCAACAAGATTGTGGCATACAAGGTAACCAAAGCTGATCCAAAGGAGATTGCTGCAGCGTACAAGAAGAAATTCCTGGTACATTCTCTTTTGCTGACCTAAAATACGAAATTTGTCCTCGGTCGTTCTTTCTATATTCATTATGCTGGTTTGCTAACCTCTGCGGAATAGTTTTCGTTACAGGAGCAACAGTAAACCTGCGAAATATTCTGCTGCGGTCGCCGTATAAATAAGTGGCTGAGCCCATGCACAGATTGTTCGTCAGCCTAATTATGTATGCACATTATGTAGTCTTGTTATAGATACGGACTTGTGTGTATTTGGATATGTATAAGTGTCTTTGTTACATGAATAAAATTCGGGTCATCGGATTCTGTTCGGTGTTCGGGTCCGGCCTCTCGCAATCTATCAACAGTTTCTTCAGAAGATGGAAGTTCTTTTGCAAAGCAAAGAACGACAATTACCAAACAATAGAGTCCAAACAACGTTGGCCAAATGTTTTTCTATATATATATTTTATAAGTCGAAGTTCACTATCTTGTTTTTACACTATCCAAATAAAGGCAAAATGCTTTTAAAATCATATCACGTCGTAATAAAAAATACATATACTAATCTGAGATGGAAGAGATCAACAAATTGCATGTTCCAACAAAAAAAAATTAGGATTTGGCTACAATATCACGTATTTGTTTAATACAATCATCATTTCGACGGTGCATTAAATACATATATTCATATGAAGTATGTCTGACTGTTACATGATAATTGTATTAGATACATGTAAGTATTTTAGTCAATCCCCTAAAGATATAGTGTGTATATTTATTTATTTATTTTATTATGTAAAAGAAAAAAAATAAATCAAAGGCCACGTGTTCCGAGTTCAAAGGTTAGTCCATGTGGTTGAGCAATTTTTTATTTTTTTTATGTGTAATCAAACATTAGTAAAAATGCAAGTTAATTATGGAAAAACACTTGAAGTGTTTCTAACAAGAAGCACGTGTGGAGTAAAAAATAATAAAGAAAATTAGAAGGCGACATGTGTACTTTTGGGTAAAAAAACAAAATTACCCTCGAGGCATACCGGGATTCACACGCACATACAATGGACAATAACGGCTCAATCAAGGAAGAGTCAAAGGTGATCAAAATGGTATTTATTCAAAACCTTCTCATCACTCCTTATCAAATCCCTTACTCAAAAGGTAACTCCCAATTTGCCACCATGGCAGCCACGGAGACCATCGTGGCAGTGGCGAGTGTGTTAGCTCTATGGAAGCAAGCCCATGGAGAGTAGGGAGCAGTTGCGCTAGTAGCCCAAGAGACGGCCCAAGCAGCCTACGTCGCAAGGCAGTCGAGCTAGGCTCGTCACGGTCGACCCAAGTCGCTACCCTAGCAGTGCAAGCCCAAGGCCCATCGCAAGCCCAATCCGAGCCAACAATCCTCTTGACCTAAGTCGTCGCCCCAGCAGCGTAGATCCAATCCGCTCCCATGGCCCATTTGGCGATCCTAGCCGGTTCAACCGTCCCGGCTTCAGATTTTTGGACTAGCGATTGAACCAGGGCCATTTTCACTCCAAGTTTCTGAGGATTTGACTTATTTCGACTCAAATTTTGCACCTAGAGTCCACTACATTTCTACCACTTATGGAGAAACCTACCATCCAAGCCCTTCCATCCCGCATGGCGAATAACACTTATCCCGACAAGTTATAGAGTCGACAAACGCCCTCGCGCAACAGACGACCTTGGTGAATCAACTTTTGCAGCATACCGAGGTGCAGCGTGCCCCAAATGAGGTGTCCCGAAGCAGGACAAGGGCAGACGATGAACCTCTCTAACATCGTCCCGGCAAACAGCCCCTCAACCAGCTACGAACCGAGCGTTTTAGCAGTGTACACTCCCACCTAGACCTCGGGATAGCGTATTGTAAGATCTCACATCGCCCATGGGTGAGGATCCTGTAAGCCTTATATGTATATTCTCATCTCTACCTAGCATGAGGCCTTTTGGGAGCTCACTGGCTTCGGGTTCCATCGGAACTTCGAAGATAAACGAGTAGCGTGCGAGAGCAATCCCATGATGGGTGACCCACTGGGAAGTTCTCGTGTGAGTTCTCATAAACAAAACCGTGAGGGCGTGGTCAGGGCCTAAAGGGGACAATATCGTGCTACTGTGGTGGAGCGGGCCCAGGATATGGTGGACCCTGGGCCAGGATGTGACACGTATATTATTGCTTTATCGCGCAGAAGAGCGTGCACTCCCAATCAAGCTTATAAACAAGGATACGTTCACGGTTGAGGCCACACTCTGATTATCAACATGGACAACCTTCTAGGCGAAATGTTCATTCACAACTAGGCTCGCAAGGAGCATTCTCCACCTTACATCGGAGTAGGTAGCACAACGAACGGAGAGAAGCAGTCACTCAATTAGGCTTAAGTTCAGCCAGCAACCTGTGAACAGCCTGCTCGCTTGCTAGGAACATGCCACCTGCACTGCAGCCGCGACATTGACGGGGTGAGCATAGGGAAAAGCGGCCTAGACCAACAGGTCACGACTGGAGGCAGCCAAAAGTTCCACTTCCTAGCAGAGGCAAATTCAAGAAGAAGTTAAGAGGCTCATGACCGAACGATTGTGCAATTTTCAGCACAACGAGGCTACTGACAATGCGCTTTGACAAAACATGACCAATATAAGTAAGTCACCATTCACAGATGAGATCAAGCAGACAGATCCACCTCGTAAGTTCACTATGCCTCACTTCACTCTATACAAGGAAGACGAAGATCCGGATCGACATCTCAAGCATTACTATAGTACCACGATCCTCTATAGGAACAACAACGCGCTTATGTGAAATTTTTTTTCCATAACTCTACAAGGTGAGGCACAAGATTGTTTCCACACCCTGCCGCCACCGTCGATCTAGAGTTTCAACGAATTTTCCTTAGTGTTCACTAAGGAGTATTTTTTCTAACCACTCAATCAAAATGACATTCAACCATCTCTTTAGCATCGTAAAAGACCCTTGGGAGACAAACCGCAACTATGTCAAGAGGTTCAAAGCGGAGAAAGCCAAGATTGTTGGCTGCAACGAAGACATATCAATAACAGCATTTAGAAATGGGTTTCTCATTGAACACCTTTTATTCAGATAATTAATCATGGGAGAAGAACTGACCTTGGCAACTTCATATGCTTTGATGAAGAAGCACATACTATGGGACAAGGCCAAGCATTCGAGCAAAAACGAGTAAAAAAAAAACGCATGGAATGTTCCCCAATTAGAGAAGACTCAACGCCCGAAACATTCACTAAGTTCACAGTTTCAATCAGCTAGATTCTCCGTAAGCTCATGAACGAACCTTGGTTCGAACTGCCACCACCTATGAAAGGCGATCTTACCAGGCAATATCATACAAAGTATTGTGCATTCCATCAAGGACCAGGCCACACTACCAACGATTGCTTGAAGTGGAAGCAGCACCTTGAGAAGCTGACAAATGAAGGTCGGTGCGACGAGTATCTTGACAGGTTAACGATACGGCCTACAGAAGCAGCGAAAGCCAACACTGAACCCTCCTCAAAGGCAATGCGAATTAATATCATCTTTGCCAGGTCTGAGCACTTTTAGGCTACGGGCAACTTTGAAAGAATGAAGCATTTGACTTTCATCAAGTAGCAACATGATGGAATGCTGGGGAAAATCTCCATCATCCCTTAACCCGTTCAGGCTTTTCCAAATAAGTTTGAAGTCTCAAGCAGCTTAACGAACAAGACCTTGTAAGCTGAGGATTATCCAGTTTGTTATGCAGTTTCTACCTTTTAGCACAGTTGATCAATTTCTTTATTCTCAATGAAGATTCAAGAAGTTATACATAAGCCTGGCTCAGCTGTTGTCTACAATAACTGATCAAA